GAAATTGCTTTTAGCTATTTGCTGTTTTCTCTTAAGCATAATATTTAGGAATAAAAAGTCTTCAATATTTTCTCCAGAATGTGCTTCTCAAAAGTTAAAAGTGAGCTGGCATGGTAGTGCACATCTGTAACCCCAGTAGCTCAGGAGGCAGGAGGATTAAGACCAGTCTCAGCAGTTTAGTGAGGTGCTAAGCAACTTTAGCAAGACCCTGTCTCAAAATAAAATATAAAAAGGGCTGGGATGTAGCTATGGTAAAGTGCTCCTGGGTTCAATCCCTAGAACAACAACAACAAAAAAGTTTAAAGTGAGCTAGGTATGGTGGTCCACATGCCTATAATCCCAGACACTTGGGAGGCTGAGACAGGAAGATTGCAAATATGAGGCCAGACTGGGAAACTGAGTGATGTATTGTCTCAGAATAAAATTAGAAGGAGCTGGGATGTAGTTCAGTGGTAGAGTACTTGCCTAATATACACCAGGCCTTGGGTTTGGGTGGGAGTTTGTCGGTGATGGTAGTTAAAAATGCTTTTTTTAAATTAAAGAAACATTCTACTTTGTAGCATTTGAGACTACAAATCCCGTATAATTTCTCTTAAATTTTTTTCAGCCTTTTTGAGATAGTGTCATTGCCCCCATCTTTATTTTTTTAGTTGTAGTTGACACAATACCTTTATTTATTTTTATGTGGTGCTGAGGATCGAACCCAGGGCCTCGCATGCACTAGGCGAGCGCTGTACTGCTGAGCCACAACCCCAGCCTGCCCCCATCTTTAAATTTTTTTTTTTTTTTTTTTTTTTTTTTAGGTTCTGGGTATGTACCCACAGCTTTGCACATGCTGGGCAAGCCATTTATCACATTTACACCCAGTCTTGCTCTTTTGCTTTTGAATTGGCCCCATCTATGCTATTTCTACTTAATTTCTTATATGATTTAACTTGCATCTGTAAATTATTTATTAGCTAGCTTTATGACTTGGGCAAGTTATCTCTGTGCCTTAGTTTTCCTCTCTGTAGAATGAGGATAATAATATTACTTATCATATAGTAGTGTTGTAAGATTAAATCACCAATAAATGGTGAAGCACTTAATAGAATGTTCGGTGTGTATTGGCTTAAAATTATTATAAGCAAAGACCTTGACTCCTCCCTTATAGTATTTGCAGCTCTTCATTTATTTTTTAATTTTGGGTAAACAGGGTTTACTCAGAATGTAACAGAACTTTGTAATTAAGGAATAATAGTTTTTTTTTTTTTTCTTCAGTACTAGGGATTAAATCCAGGGCTTTGCACATGCTGGTCAAGGCCTTATCATTGAGTTATACCCCTAGCCCTAAAATTTTAAAAATGGGTCTTCCCTTTCTCTTGGCTAAAATACCATATATAAGCTTACTAAATTGACTTTTTAATGCACATTTTCCCTTTTCTCCCACTGTGTTAGACTTTTCTGTAATTATAGGTAAGTGGTTTATTATCAGGAGTTAGATTATTTTTTATAATTAGTAGATTATTACTAATTTCTAGATTATATTTTTTTGTTGTTATTTTGGTACCAGGAATTGAACCCAGGGGCAACCACTGAGCCACTTCCCTAGCCCTTTTTTATTTGAAGATAGAGGACCTAAGTAACTTAGGGAGACACTGAAGTTCTGAGGCTGACTTTGAACTTGCAGTCCTCCTGCCTCAGCTGCTGGGATTACAGGTGTGCACTACCTCATCTGTTTTTCTAGGTTACATTCTTTTTTTTTTTTTTTTTAATTTTTTTAGTTGTTGATGTACCTTTACTTTTTATTTATTTATATATGGTGCTGAGGATCAAACCCAGTACCTCACACATGCTAGGCAAGTGCTCTGCCACTGAGCCACAATCCTAGCCCCTAGATTACATTCTTAAACCAGATTTTTTGAACATTTAGGGGTCCCTTCTTAACACTTAATTATACCAGTAAAAGGAATATAGTATTCACTGAATCTTTTTTTTTTTTTTTAGATTTTTTATTACATAATTTTTATTCACATAATTGTTCTGTTTTATTGTTATCTCTAGTTATGATATCAAAAAAAGTTAACATTTATATAGTGGGAAATTTTCACTTTTAGATTATTTAGCAAAGATTCCCATTCCTAATTTCTGTTGCCTTATAACTTGAAAATGTATGTCAGATGTGGCCAGTTTTGTACTGCTTTTCCTTGTAACGTGATAGAAGAGATTGGCATTTGTCACTAAGGGCCAGTAGGCATTTTTTTTTTCCCTCTCACTGGTATTGATACAGATAACAGGAGCAAGCCTTTCCTTTTCCTGAAGCTCAGACTGCTCACACCTTCACCCTGTTCTGAATGAGGACAAAAAGGGAAAGAGGAGCATTAGATGAGAAAATGAGGAGATGGCACTGAGCCTTTGAGGCCCTGAGGCCTTTAGTTCTTTGTTTCTATGCACCACCCCCAAATCCTGTAAGACAATAAGTTCTGATTTTGTTTGAGTTTGACTTGGGTTTCTTTCACTTTAATTTGAAACTTCTAGTACATCCTATATTAATCTGAATTCTTATACTGGGCTTCCAAAGTATTTAAAGATAATCTGGATTTTAATCTCAGGGTAACATACTAAGGTAAACTCAGCTTATATATGAATTAATAGTCAGAATCAGTGAAATGGAAATAATAAAGCATCTCATTTATTAATGACCCTTGCTTAGAAGAAAAATTATTTATAAGGAATATATAATGTACCAGTATTCCTTTCTCTATATACTTACACAGAGTAGGAAGTTCCTTTAAAGAGAAGGGAAGAGATAAAGTCAGGATATTCATAATTTCATTGATTAGGTATAAATATCTTTTTTATGCCTGGGGATTGAACCCAGGGTGCCTTACTTCTGATCTACATCCCTTAGTCCTTATTTAATTTTGAGATGGGATCTTTTGCTGAGACTGGCCTTGAATTTGTGATTCTCTTGCTTTAGCCTGCTAAGTTGCTGGGATTACAGGTGTGCACTGCCATGTGTGGCTTATTATTTTTAAATAAAGTAGCTATGGTAGCTATAGGAGGGGCAGAAAGGAGGTAAGAAAACCTGGGTGAAAAGCATGACAGAAGAGAGCTAAGTTTGGTAGACATTGGGAAACCATTAGTAATTGATTGTCAATTTTAGAGAGGTATGATTTGTACAAATTTTACTTTTCTTGGATGTCATATTGTCTCCTTCTGGGTTAAATGCTAGGCTTCTGCGAGAGGAGTTGGTGACAGAAGTGAAGAAAAATTTTTGTTTTCTTTAGATTGACATTTTGTTGTTGTTGTTGTTGTTGTTACCTGGGATTGAACCCAGGGGCACTTAATGAGCCATATTTCTATCCCTTTTTTTAAATATATTTTAGGGACAGGGTCTCTAAAGTTGCTTGGGGCCTAAGTTGCTGAGGCTGGTTCATGTTGATGTAGTTAGGTATTATGATCAGCTTTCTTGTATTGCTTTTTAATAAGCTGACGACATATTGACTTAGAAAATCTGCTGCTTCTATTACTTGACTATTTGCTTGAGGGTAACACATGAGGTGGGAACTGAAAATGAATACAGTAATTCCCCCTTATTCACAGTGTATACATCTTCCAGGATCCCCAGTAGATTGCTGAAACCACATGTAGTACCAAATCCTTCTATATATAACTATGCTTTTCCTATCTATCATAAAGTTTATAAGTTAGGCACAATTGGAGATTAACAACCAAGTCTAATGATAAAAAAGACCATTAATATTCTGTAGTAAAACTATGTGAATGTTTTCTCTTTTAAAATATCTTAATTCCTCATTGCACCCAAATGTCAGACTGTGGTTGACTGAGTAATGAAATCTTGGAAAGCAAAATCACAGATAAGGGGACTATACTGCTCAAAACTTTCAGGACTGTTTTGGAAGTCTTTGATGAATGTGGTTAATGAGTAGGAGTTGTGGTGAATATGAATTTTTAATTTTAACTATTTCAGTCCCAAAACAAACTTGACCCTTGACAACAGAATGTGTAAGCCAGGTATTTGATATGTCTATGCCACACTATCCAGTTTTTACTGTTTGTCCCTATGGAAATTGAAACTTTAATGCGTTGCTGTGGGTTAAATATGGTTCCTGGTGCTCTGTTGAAAAGGTTTTAGTTATACACACCTTTGTGGTCATTTCTAAAGCATACATTCCAAGATTATGTTTATAGTAAAGTGGTCTGTATCCCAAAATATGACTCTGGTTACTAAAGGTATAATTTTGACAAGTCATTAACTTCTTATAGGTCCTATAAGTAAGATACAGAGAAAATCTTGTCTTACCTGAGCATGCATGTATGTTTGGACTTCTTTGTTGCTAAATCTTAAACAAAATTTCAACTTTAGAGAGGTATGATTTGTACAAATTTTACTTTTCGTTGATGTCATATTGGAATCATACAGGATGTTCTATTTTGTGTGTGTCCTCTTTTAATACTTTGAGATTCCTCCATGTTATTGAAAGTAGTAGTGCTTTGTTTTATTTAATTGCTAAGTAGGAGTTTATTACATGGATGTTTCACATTTCTATATCTGTTTACTAGTTGATGGATATTTGGGCAGTTTCTAGTTTTGGATAAAGTTCCTATGAACATTTGCATACAGTTCTTGGGAGGGACATGGGTTTTCATTTTCTTAGTTGAATATCTAGGACTAGAAATTACAGGGTTGCATGATAAGTGTACCTCTGTAACTTTAACTTCAAAATAAACCACCTATTTTGCATTCTCTAGTAACTTCTGAGGAATTTCTTATACTCTGCATCCTGTCAACACTTGGTATTATTAGCCTTTATTAATTTTAGTTACTGGTGGGCCTATAGTGATATAACATCATGGTTTTAATTTGTAATTTCCAAAGACTAATGATGATCATCTTTTCATGTGCTTATTGATATATTAAAAAAGAATAGGTTTTTTTTGTTTATTTTTAAATTGCAGGGTTTTTTTTTTTTTTTTTTTTTGTTGTTGTTACCTGGGATTGAACCCAGGGGCACTTAATGAGCCATATTCCTATCCCTTTTTTAGGGACAGGGCCTCTAAAGTTGCTTAGGGCCTAAGTTGCTGAGGCTGGCTTTGAACTTGATCCTCCTGCTTCAGCCTCCTGAGCTCCTGTGATTACAGGTGTACATCATGGTGCCTGGCTCCATGTAAGTTCTTGATTACCAGTCTTGGAAATCACATGTTTTGCAAATGTGTTCTCATAGTTTGTGGTTTTCTTTTTTCTTAATATTATCTTTAGAGAACAAAACAATTTAATTTCTATGTAGTCCAAGTGGCTGTTTTTTACATCCCCCCCCCCCACACACACAGTAGATAATACTCTTTGTATCTTATTTAAGGATTTGTTTCTAAGGTCACTAATGTTTTCTTTATTTTTCTTCCAGATTTTTTTTTTTTTTTAAACTGGGATTGAACTAAGGAGTACTCAATCACTGAACAACATCCCCAGCCCTATTAGGTATTTTATTTAGAGACAGGATCTGAGTAGCTTTGTACCTCGCCTTTGCCGAGGTTGGCTTTGAACTTGTGATCCTCCTGCCTCAGCCTCCCTAGCTGCTGGGATTACAGGAATGCACCACCACACCTGGCTATTTTTTTTTTTTTTTAACTTTTTATAACTTTCGGTTTTACATTTAGGTCTGTGAAACACTTTGAATTAAAGTTTGTATAATGAGTGAAGTAATGATGGAGGTATTTTTTTTTTTTTTTGTACTGGTGATTGAAACCCAGTAAAGCTTAAACATTGAACTGAGCCCCATCTCCATATCTCCCAAGCCCTTTTGGAAAGGATCTCACTAAGTTGTCTAGGCTGGCCTCAAACTTGTGAACCTCTTGCCTCAGTCTCCCTAGTTGTTGGGACTGTAGATGTTTGCTACTGTACCTGGCTTGCTATTTGCTTTCTATTTATCTCATATATTTTGTTTTTCTCTCATGGACTTGATTAAGTATTTTGGAATATTTCATTTTATCACCTCTACTGTATTAGCTATATTTAATTGTAATTTTTAATTAACCCGGTAGTAGAGTCCATGTTTAGCATTAAACTATATCCCCAGCCCTGTTTTATTTTTTCCATGACTACTATAGCATTTACAAAGGCACAACCTACTTTAAGTACAACTATACTACTTCATGTATTAAATAAGAACTCTATGGTAGTGTATCTCTGTTTTCCCACCTCTTGTCCATTTTCCTATTGTTTTGCATTTTATTTTTAGATACATTACAAACCGGTATATTTTAGTCAGCTTTTTCACTTCTGTGACCAAAAGGCCTGACAGAAACAATTTTAAGAAGGAAAGTTTATTTTGGGACTTACGGTTACAGAGGTCTCAGTCCAAAGGTGGCTGACTCCATTCCTTAGGGCCTGAGGTGAGGCAGAACATCACGGAGGAAGAGTGTGGCAAAGGAAAGCAGCTGGGGACATGGTACCAGGAAACAGAGAGAGCTCCCCTCACCACAGACAAAATATATAAATCCCAGAGGCACACCCTCAGAGACCTACCTCCTCCAGCCACACCCTAACTACAGTTACCACCCAGTTAATCCCTATCAGGAGATTAATGCATTGACTAGATTAAGGATCTCATTACCCAATCATTTCACCTCTAAACCTTCTTGCAGTGTCTCACAGGTGAGCTTTTGGGGATCATCTAATATCTAAACCATTAACAACCATGATTCATTGTTATTATTATTTGTTTTAAACAGTTGCCTCTTAAAGAGGAAAAGATGCATTTATCTGAATTCTTCAAGGCTTATTTTTATTAAAACTTTGTTAGAGTAGGCCTGGAAAAAAGTTTTTATTAAAACTTTGTTAGAGTTTGCCATAGGGCTAGTTTAGCCCAGTTTTTAAGGTCTTAGCTGAATGTCCTGAGCTAAATAAAACATCTTTGGTCAGAACCAAAATGTCTGTGTTGACTTTGATAATTAAGTTTAAAGTTCTCAAGTAGTTGCTTGTTACCTAATGATTGTTTCTTTATCCATGGAATCTCACCCATCACATGTGCAGCTAGTTTAAGTATTAAAGATAAAAGGGTGTCCCACAAATTACAGCCTTCCAAAACTCATTAGAGTTTCTGACTTGGTTTCTGCTCTGCTTGGATTCCCAGATTTCCCCTTTCTGGCTGGAGTCTGGAAAGTGCCTCAGAGCACAAAGCTTGAACATTCTTAAGGCTAAGGTAATTTGTTTTCTCTCGGGAATCACAGTTCTTTTCTATTATTCAGTATTTAAGAATGGTTATTCCATATATTTTGCCAATTTTTTAGTTGCTTATAGTATGGGGAGGTCTAGTCTCAAGTTACTCCATCATGGTCAGACTACTTTAATCTTACAGGTTGTATTTTTGTAGGTAGCCTTCTAACAGCACTTGTCCTGGTATAGCCGATATTCATGTTCTAATTGCTCACTACTAGATTTTATGTAAAATAAGAAATGTTAGCCTTCCTAATAGTATTGTAAATAGTACTCTGAATGTACTATTTTACCAGTTGCATTTTAATGCCTACAGTCAATAACCAGAACTGTCTCACTGGCCCCTATACCTAGAGTAGTTTGAACTTTAATCCAAAATTGAGTAATGAGATTATATCTTATTGTGTTCTTGTTTAATAATATTCTAGCACATTTAATAAGATTTTATATTGGCTCTAACCACCTGATATTCACTAAAATATGGAAATAATTTAAGAGCACTAGGCTCTTAAAAATCTGCTCTAATATTGGAGGAGAAAAATGATTGAAAATGGCTAATTTTTATATAAAGGAGGCATTAAATTATAAAGAAAAAGTGTTGCTAGAGGTATCTCCTAGTTGGAGCATTGTTTAGGTTTATAGGCTTCAGTTTTGTTTTCTTAGCAGAATTAACCCAGTCTCTACTCATCATCTAAGAAAAGACCCTTCAGGTAAGATTTTAAAAATTACACTGGGATTCACATGCGTTGCAATACATACCTCTGAGAATTCATAATCATAACATGTGGTTTTCATCTGCCTAATAAATCATGCTTGTTTTACCAGTTATTTTATTTCATTGTAACAAATCTTTGTGCCACATTTGGCATTTAAATATTGACAAATGAGGACAAATAACTTCCCCTCATTTTATCGTCATCATTATTTCTAGGCAACTAATATTGTTATAAAAGTATTGTGCTTTTACTTAATACTTTTTTTTAAATGTCTTGGTAAAAAGTCATTTATAGGCAAATATACATATTCACAATATGTAAGGGTAAGTAAGATCTTTGGGTAGCTGGAAGATCTTATGAGTAAATAGTATTTGCTATTAAATGGGTTTTGAATAGTTGTTGAAGGATCACTTAGTAAAGGGAAGTTGCTTATATATTTTGAAACTGTAAAATGGTTTTCCCTCTGAAATTATCAAATGTCTTATACTGTTAGTGCAAGGAATTAAAGTGTTTAATTTAGAAAAGATTAGTAACTGCTGGTGTTATTCTGGCATCAGAAAAACCTGAAGCTGGAGAGCATTATCTGTACTTGTCTCTTGGTACTTCAGAGATAGATAGTTCTTCTTCTTCTTCTTTTTTTTTTTTTTTTTAAAGAGAGAGAGAGAATTTTTTAAAATATTTATTTTTTAGTTTTTGGCGGACACAACATCTTTATTTGTATGTGGTGCTGAGGATCGAACCCAGCGCTGCGCGCATGCCAGGTGAGCACACTACCGCTTGAGCCACATCACCAGCCCCTGGATAGTTCTTCTTATACCAATCTCCTAATGCATGCCTGGATAACATTTTTCTTGTACTGAAAAATAAGTCCATGGTGTTAACCAGGCATCTCTACATTGATCATCTGATTTCCATAGCTTCCATGAATTCAAATTAATTTTGAAATTTAAAATCTTATTTAATTAGCAGGTAGGAATTCTTTGAAGTATTTCTCTTGCCTTGAAACATCTTCTCTTTGATACCATTACCTTTTTCCTTTGCAAGACTTAGCTTAGGCTTGTTAGTACAATAAATATTTATCTGTGTCACTTATTGACTAGGAACTGTTATGCGGTAGACTCTGGATGTATTGTTGAACAAGGTGTAGTTTCTCACTATAATGTAGCCTATGAAGGAAAAGGAATAGGAGTTGGAAAATAATATTCTAGTATAGGTGCTTTTTTTTTTTTGCATCAAGTAGGTAGATTTTTCTGGATAGTCGATAATTTTCTACCTTCTTTTGGCATGGGGATTTTACCAAAATCTTAGTCAACTCAATTTAAAGGGAATATATCATGTTAAATGTTAAGAGTAAAGGGAATTTTGATTAGAATCTATAAGGCATAGCATTTTTTAAGTACAAAAATACTATTTGCTTATAAGAATACAAAGATTTGTCTGTTTTAATGTAGTTAGTTATGGTGTCTTATTTCTTTTCTTCCAGGGACATAGTATAAGGTAAAAACCTAAAATTATTGCTCTTAATGTTTTTGGGACAAATATGTGACTACATAGTTTTGCTAATAGTCATTGACTCATTAAGTTAATTATCTCATTTTATGTTTCCTGTCTTTTTTTCTGGGGGAGAGGTTTCGAGGCCCCACCACTTGACATGGAGCACTTTTATTCTTAGTACCATAACTGTACATACTTAAAAGTAAATGATGTTTTGTCTTGCCATGGGTTTCTCACTGATGTATCTAATGAAGTGGTTTAAACTGTCCAATTTTATATACAAGAAAGGAGAAAGGAATATTTTGTCAAGAGATTAATACAGTTATCTTCTTAAAATAATGATATTTGCTCATTAAGACATTTGGACTGTTAATTTATATTCACATGTTTCCAGTCTTTAGTTCAATCTTTAGAAAATATTTTTCTAGATTAAACTCAAACTCAAGTAAAATTATGTTTATAGTGTATTTGAAATATCTAACTGTACTAGGATGTTAGATGATGACCATATATGTACATTTTACTCTTTTATTATTATTATTATTATTATTATTATTATTATTATTATTATTATTTGGTACCTGGGACTGAACCCAGGGCTTAACCACATCTCTAGCCCTTTTAATTTTTAATTTTTGAGTAGGGCCTTGCTGAGATCCTGACGCATGTCTTGAACTTTCTATTCTCCTGCCTCAGCCTCCCAAGTTGCTGGGATTACTGGCATGTGCCTCCATACCCCACACTTCTTTATTTTTTATTTTTAAGAGTAAGGAAGTTAAGAATTTAATCATCTGGATGTGGTATCACATGCCTATAATCCCAGTGACTCAGAAGGAGGATCACAAGTTCAAGGCCAGCCTCTGAAGCTTAGTGAGACCCTGTCTCAACAAATAAAAAGGGGTTGGGCCAGGGTTGTGGTTCAGTGGCAGAGTGGTTGCTTAGCACATGAGAAGCACTGGGTTTGATCTTTAGTGCCACATAACAAAATAAAGGCATTCTGTCCATCTACAACTACAAAAAATCATTTAAAAAAATAAAAAGGGAGCTGAGGTTGTAGCTGGGGTTGTAGGGTCAGTGGGGGAGCGCTTGCCTTGCATGTGAAGCACATAAAAGTAAAATAAAATAAAGTTATTGTGTTCATCTACAACTAAAAATATATAAAAAATAAAAAAAAGGACTGGGGATGTAGTTCAGTGGTAAAGCACCCTTGGGTTCAATTCCCAGCACACCCCCCAAAAAATAAAAATAAAAATTAATCAGATAAGTTATGAACACATTAGTTTTTTTATTATTAGCTAAAAAAATTATTAGGTCATTGCATATTGTGCTAATTAAAGTGAATCATTTCTGCTAGTTAAACCATGTATGGCTAGAGAGAACATTTTGCACACTATATAAAAAAATAAGCCTAACAGAAAATTCATGGCTGAGATTAAAGACTCTAGGAACACAAGGTGCTTAAGTTGAAGTCTAGATGGATGTGGATTTTGTTTTTTTGGGGTGGTTCTGGGGATTGAACCCAGGGGAGCTTAACATCTCCAGCCCTTTTTAATGTTTTATTTAAAGAAGGGGTCTTGCTGAGTTGCTTAGAGCCTCACTAAGTTGCTAAGGCTGGCTTTGAACTTGTGATCCTCCAGCCTCAGCCTCCCAAGCTGCTTGGATTATAAATGTGCCTCTGCACCCAGCTGGATATGGAATTTTAATAAACAGTATCTTGCTAAATTTGTGTATTCAGTTTTGGTACCTGAAAGATTACTGGTATTTAGAATATTTGAATGTTGTATTATATTTGTTGGGGCATGTACATAACAAAAATGATATGGTTGATATAGAAACTTGTAAAAAATATTTAAACTTTTTGAATGGGGAAGAAGAGAATCTCTACCACGGAGTCACATCCCCAGCCTTTAATTTTTTATTTTGAGATGGGGTCTTACTAAGTTGCTTAGGGTCTTGTTAAGTTGCTGAAGCTGACTTTGAACTTGCCATCCTTCTGCCTCCCAAGCTCCTGGGGTTACAGGCCACCACACACTACAAAGCTTTAAAAAAAAATTTTTTTTTTCTTTTGCAGTACTGAAGGTTGAGACCAGGGGTGCTCTACTACTGAGCCACATCCCAAACCCTTTTTATTATTTATTTTGAGATGGCCTCTGACATCTTGTGATCTTCCTGTCTTAGCTTCCCAAATTTGACAGTACTATAGGCATGCACCAATGACTCAGCTTTTTTTTTAAACTATATATAAATAATTGTCTATAGAGTAGAAATTGCTCAAACATCATGTAAAGCATAGGGTTAACTCACATTTGGCCTAAAGATTGATACTAACAAAATACAAAGGTAAGCTTTAGGATTTTGCTTTTCCTTCTAATTTTCCTTTGCCTTTTAATAGTCTTCTTTGAGGCCAGAAGGGCTGGGGATGTGGCTCAGTGATTGAGTGCCCCTAAGTTCAATCCTCAGTACCCTCCCCACACAAAAAAAGTCTTCTTTGAACATATCTGAATGGCTGCTTAATTTCTTAAGGTTTTGCTGCCTTTTTTTTCTTGCAGTGCTGAGGATTGAGTCTGGGTCTTGGTTTATGCTGAGCAAGCACTCTTCCACTGAGCTGCATCATCAGTCCATCAGTTTTGCTTATTTTAAAGTGGTTTTTTTTTTTTTTAAAGCTTAGAGGGTTGGTTTGGGATATAGCCTAGAGGTAGAGGGCATGCTTAGGATGCATAAGGATGCGTAAGGCCTTAGATTTAATCCTTAGCACACATGCATGCTTGCACACACAAACCTTAGAAATTTAGGAATTCTTTTTTTTTTTTTTTAATATTTTAGTTGCACACCATACCTTTATTTATTTTTATGTGGTGCTGAGGATTGAACCCAGCGACTTGTGCATGCTGGGTGAGTGCTCTACTGCTGAGCCACAATCCCAGCCCCAGAAATTTAGTAATTTCTGGTGTCTCTTTTATTTATTTTTTTGAGGTGCTTGGGTAGCCTGTAATAATTTATAATATCTTTTTAAAAAATGTTATAATATCTTAATGAATATTCAGTTTGTCACTTGGGGAGTTTCTTTTGAGAATGCTTAGCATTTTATTATTTTTTTAATGGATTGCTCATTTATTTCCCAAAATTCTTAATTCACTTATGTTTTTTCAAGTGTATAGTTCTGTAAGTACATTCAATTGTTGTACAACTCTCGCCACCATCCATTTTCAGAACTTTTTCATCCTTTTCAACTAAAACTCTGGACTCATTAAACTCTAATTGCCTGTTCTCCCCTGCCACTCATCTCTGGCAACCACCATTCACATTTTCACTACTTCACTACTGTAAGTATCTCAGTATAAGTGGAAACCTAGAGTATCTGTTGTTTTGTGACTGGCTTATTTCACTTAGCCTAAAGTTTTCAAGATTTATCTATATTGTGACATGGGTCAGAATTACCCTTCTTTTAAAGACTGAATAGTACCTATTATATGTACCACATTTTGTTTCTTTATTCATCCATTGATGGATACTTGAAACCATTTAGCCATTGGGAATAATGGTGTTATGAACATCCAGTTACAAATATCTATTCAAGTTCCTGATTTTATTTCTTTTGGGTATATACCCAGAAGTGGAATTGCTGAATCATATGGTTATTCTGTGTTTAATTTTTTGAGAAATATCCTTGTCATTTCCATAGTGACTGTAGTTTACATTTCTACCAGCAGTGTGCAGTTTTTTTTAATATCCTAGCCAACATTTTTAAAAATCCTTAATTTTTTTAAAAAAAGTAGCAATCCTAATGGATGGGAAGTAGTATCCCATTGTGGTTTTGATTTGCGTGACTCTGATGACTGGTGGTGTTGAACATCTTTTCTGGCACATATTGGCATTTTGTATATCTTTGAAAAATGCCTGTTTAAATCTATGCTAGTTTTCCAGGCTACCAAAACAAAATACTGCAGGCTGGGTGGCTTAAACAACAACTTTATTCTCTCTTAGTTCTGGAGGCTGAAAAGTTCTAGATTAATGTTCTGACAATATTCAGTTTTTGGTCAGGCTTTCTTCTTGGAGAGCAAGCTTTCTGGCATCTCTGATAAACTTAATAATCCTGTTGAATCAGGACTCAACTGGATGATCTTTATTGTAACTAAAGATTTTACCTCTAAATATATTGTCACATTAGGGATTAGGGCTTCAACATTTGAAATTTGAGGGGGCACAAAGTCCATAACAAAGTACTTTGTCCACTTTTGAGTTGTATTTGTTGTTGATGAGTTATTTT